TGGGCCTCAGTCACCGTGCCCGCCGTCCCGGTTGCGCCCCTGGCAGCTCGTGTATCCCTGCGCGGGTTCGCGCGCTCGATCACCTGCTCGCCGCGTGCCCGGTGCGTGTCCCCTTTGCTCCGGCGCCGGTTCACCCGTACTCCAACTCCTTCTCGTTGGCGATGGTCTTGAGTCTTCTCGGCCCATGCTCCGTTGGTCCGGTGAGGTGCCGCGGTACATATAAGAGGTTCCAAGTAAAATTAATAAAAGATACGCGATACAAATTCGGGCCTCCCGGAGATCTCGGTCTCGCTTTAAACAACGCGGCTGTCGGTCCGGCAAGAGGGGCGCGGACCCGCGCCTTGTGACGGCGGCGGGACGCTGCCTCGCTGCAGCGGACTGCAGCGTCACAGCGTGCGATATTGACGTAGTGTGTAGTGATGTGTTCATGTTTACTACCATATCGATATCTCACGCACACATCGTAACAAATTTTCAAGAACATACATCTTTTTTATTAAGCATCCAAGCCTAATTTTATGAACTCAACATTGTTTGCACATGTAATTCGTAGTTCCGGCTGGTATCATTTTGTACCAACAAACTGTCAAATTGTTGTACGAAGCAAATATATATATAATATTGGTACATGTGACAGCCCTAGACGCCATGTTAGACTAAGAAAAGGTAACGGAGATCTAAATTTCATAAATTTTTTGCGTTTTCAGCATAACCTCTACTAGCCGGAACTACATTGATACCTATACTTTATTCGTGGAGAAGGATTTTTTAATCTGTTGCCTTTAATTATGTTTATTTTGTTTTGGAAAATAATCGTGTTCGATCGATAAAACAGACAACTTTAGGATCGCCTTAATATCTGTTTTTACTTTAAGAATTTATTCTACTACGTGTTCACGAAACGAAGAAATCGTGAAGTCCACCGGACGTAACAATACTATATCTTAATGTAAATATATATTCTATATTAATGTAATTGCATATTCTATAATAATTAAGTTTTTGTAAGCTGTAATTTTTTCGTATGTGTAATTATTTCAAAATGAATTATTTACAATACAAATTGATTTATCAAAATGTTAATAAAGGAAAATAAAACATAATTTTTATCACAGAATATTTAGATAATTTATTACATACTGTATCACATAGAAGATTATTATATGTTATATCACATATTAAAACACATAAACAATATTGCAGATTATGTATCACATTGCAGAAAATAGGAACAAAATATTTATTTAAAATGTGTATCTGCTTTAAAAAAAATGTAAATTTAAAATCTTTAATTTTACAAAAAAAGATAATTTTTGTATGACAATAAACTACTTGTGAAAAATAAAAAATAAACTATTTCATACTAATTGTCACACAAAAATTAAATTAAATAATTAGACTTTAAATTCTTAACAAACAGTATAAACTCTTTGACATACGATATTTTCAATACGATATTTCAATATAATATTATATTTTAAAATATATGTAAATATGTGTTCAAAACAGCGGCGTAAAGTTCACCGCATCATGTAATAAACCTAAAATGTGCGCTTAAAGAAACGCCTCGCGCATGCATGTAAAGATTAGGTAACGGCTGATATCTTGCTTCGAAAATTTCCACAGAGCATAGACGGTCAAAACGACCGACAAGTGACATTATTTGTTTTTTTTCTCACGAAACCCGTAGTCACGATTACCGTACCTCCCCTTGTTATATGAAACGTCACTTGTTTTTCCACTTGCTCAAGCGGAAGCACCGAAGCGAGATTCTGTAGAAATGAAAAGGAAAAAAGGGGTGAGCAGACGCTGCTCGCGCCAGTTCTCTCGCAACCGGCCTTTTTAGCACTTGCTAAAATTCGTCAACGCAGCTCTTGCTCTCGTTTTTCGAAAGGCGATCTCACATGCAATCCGCACACTCGTGCAGTGCTTCAGGTTGCGTTCAACTCTGTAAATAGATTGTAAATAGTAAAGTTTCGCGTTAAGAACAAAAAGTGTTCGTGATCAAAATGCTTTAATTTGTATCCAGATACCCATTTCTACGTTCATTTTTTTCTCTCATCCCTTTCGGATTATCGCGTACACGACTACTAAATAATATGAATTTTCATATCAGAAAATATCATAAAAAATATACTAACAAAAATAAATATATAAAGTGATATTATATAAAAATTATTAAATATTATCTAATTTTTATTACTACTCCTTTTAATCCTGTTATTATTTGGATTGAAATTATCTGTCAACAAGGATCTGAATGTCATGCTTTTACTCCCAAAAGCGGACGACGTACTTTGATCTGAGGGAATAAGACTTAAATTTGCAGACAATTGATTTAATCTCATTCTTATAAATTTTTCTAACCGAATGTCATGACAAGCAGAAAGAGTGAGATGCGATAAAACTATATGTATATGATTTAAGATTTACAATTTGACCGATAATTTTCTGTTTTTCAACTGACACTTGTAGAATAACTTTGACCTTTGAATGAAGAAGTTTTGAGTAGCAATCGATACATTTTATGCGTGTTTTCAATGTGTAGATTACGTGTCCGCATATTTTATACAAAATTTCTTCTTGTTCCTTATTTATTTCTTTACAGTCATTTAAATGTGGAAATATTATACTTGAGTCGATTAAAGACAAATTTGTGTTTTCTTTTGGCTTTTTTTTAAATAAATGAGCGTATAAGATTAAAAGAATCATCGAAATCATAACTGGCACTATCTATTTTCTGATGATATCCTGCTATGCACAGTTGCTTTAATCTAAATTTAAAATCTTGTGCAGATGGTTTTGGTCTCTAAATGCGAATATTCGAAAATTCATTTTCGATACTATCTTGTAAAAATCTACCCATGCATACAAAACCATGCATTGAAAACCTTTATTTGCCAATAATTCTGCAATTCTAGAGCAACTTTACAACACATAACTGTACGAGTTTGAACAACTTTCCAAGCTTTTCCAATATTAGCATGCTTCATAATTAAACTAACAAGATAAATAACAGACACAGCCTGTTGTGTGAGTGGGTTGTCATACAATCAGATATGTTGGTTAGATACAGCTTTTAATATATAAGTATACAATGTAATGTTGCTGAAGCTCAAGACACGTTTTTTCGCCACGTCGCCCTCGCTTGCCTCTGTCGCATCCGCTTGCGCCATCAGGAGCCACCTATTAGTAACTTCTACAACACCTCCCTTTTTCAGGCTTTCTTCCTCAATACATCATTTACTTAAAAAACGTAATATAATCCTTAAACCTACTAGGTTGTCTTATGTTCCTATTTGGTCTTACATTTACATTCTCATTCGTCTGGTCATTCTCACTCGTCACACTTATATTTGAGTCACTTCTTACCGGGACTTCGCTTGTCTCATCATTATCACTTATATCATATGACACTCTATCATAATTATTATCTGCATTCAGCGCCATATCACTTGTTGCATTGTAATTTAAATTTTCACTTTCTTCATCTTCACAATCCGACACGTAAACAGGTTTTGTGTCCGGCTTAATACTAGACTGTCTAATTTGACTACTGTTCCTTCTTAACACGACCACCATTGTCTTTTATTAAATATGACCTAGGTTCCTTACATATTCCGACTATTTTAGCTGCTTCCCATATATCTCCCTTTTTAAATGTCACATTTTGATTAACTTTGAACATTGTTTGCTTTTTTGCTTTCCTATCATAATCCGCCTTAAATCTATCCTGCTTATTAATTAACTTAGCATGCGCTTGCTTCCTCTTTACACTTCTATCATTTAACAATCTTTGTGACATCGGTAACTTAGTCCTCAATTTGCGATTCATTAACAATTGTGAAGGTGAGTATCCTATGTTTGTTATTTCTGTGTTCCTGTAGTTTAACAATGCTACATCTAAATCAACTTGTTTTTTCAGAAAAGACTTTGCTATTTTTACACCACTTTCTGCCTGACCATTACTTTTAGGATAGTGTGGACTAGACGTTATAATTTGCATGCCAAAATCCTCCGCAAATTGTTTGAATTTATATGAACCGAAGGGCATATTATCTGCTTATCAAACATTCTGGTATTCCATGTGTCGCAAAACAGTTTTTAAACGCGGGTATTATGCCTTGAGTAGTTTTATCTTTTATTTTTATTATCTCTAGCCACTTAGAATAATAATCGAAAATGATTAGATAATTATTTGTACCATATTGTGCTATATCCGCTGCAACTTTCACAAAAGGCCTCTTTGGAATATCATGTTTTATCATGGTTTCTTGCGATTTTGCCGGAAGAAATTTTTCACATAGTCTGCATTTTTTGACAAATTCAATGACATCATTACTCATGTTTGGCCAATAAAATGTGTTACGTCCTGGATTTTTGGAAAGTAAGGACGCAGGGGTGGGGGTTTATCTTTTGGAGATCTAGGAAAAAAAAAAAAAAAAATGGGAGACACAATCAGAAAGATGGCTTGCTTAGAGTGGGCCGAGCGGTAACCCTTACGCTTGCCGTGAATATCATCACCTTGTGTCTTAAGGGTAGGAAATTGATGGGAAAAGAGAGTAAGACAGCAGACGTAATCTTTTTAAACCTTTTTTATTATGTATTTTACCACTTGTATGTCCCGTATGCGGGGCAGTGTTTCTGATACTGGGTCGTATACCCGAGGAGGAGCCTGCCGGCCTACCCGTAAGGGGCGAGTCGGAACCCTAACAGGGGCATATGCGTCGGCTCGCGGAGGCGAAGGGGGCCTGCGAGGGGGCGACGGGACTCGTGGAGGAGGAGAAGGTTTGCGCGTCCCTTCTGTGGGCGCAAAGGGCCCCGGAGAATATGGGGGGTTCTCGGGGGAGTACGTAAAATACCCCGGATGCCCGTCGAGGCAGGAAGGGTCGAACTCCCTTGATTGGAACAGTTCCTTCCTTAGTCGCCTTAGAGCCCGTTTGCGGCCCCCAGCCCTGGATCGCCGTGCCCTTTAATGATTGAAAGTTTTGAGTGGCTATGGATGACACCCTATAGATATATTTTCATACATTAAAGTCCCGTTTTAGGCCCTACCTGCGCTTGGGTTGCTCCATCGCGGTTTGATTGTACGCGGGGATAATACCGGTATATTAATCTGATGCCCCCTGTCACGCGAAAACCGTCAGGTTAATATGTATATACGCGTCCGAAAAGACAACGTGGTAAGAATGAGATGTATATATGTATGTGTGGCAGGAAAGGCAATATGATAAAGGTGAGAAGAAACGTACGCCTGTGGCAAGCGCGATTCAAGGTATGTGGAAGGTGGGAATACACCTGGTAGAAAAGACCATGCAACAAGAGTAAGATGGAACGTACGCCTTTGGTAGGCGCGATTCTGGAGTTTGTGGAAGACAGAGAGTAAGACGGGGCATACGCCTTTGGTAGGCGCGATTTGTGGAAGACAGAGAGTAAGACGGGGCATACGCCTTTGGTAGGCGCGATTTGTGGAAGACAGAGAGTAAGATGGGGCATACGCCTTTGGTAGGCGCGATTTGTGGAAGACAGAGAGTAAGATGGGGCATACGCCTTTGTCAAGCGCGATTTAGGAAGTTGTGGAAGGTGGGAGTACACCTGTCCAGGACGATAGTACAACAAGGGTGAAGGAGGACATACGCCTTTGATAGCGCGATTTTTAGAAAGTGTGAATAGGAGTGCCACTATGGCAGAAAGAAAGAAGATTCTAATAGTGACCTTTAATGGTGAGTTGCGCTTATAGCGACGCTCGTGTTTCAGTTGTATCTTCGCCGAGGGCAGCGTGATACGATAATGAGCGAATTCTCATCGAAATCGGCGCTCTTATATACTAGTAGCTTGGTGGTAAAAGGGGCGAGGGGAAATGGGAATCTTCGGAAAATTAGAAAGTGGTGGATTGCCCTTTGACCTGTTTTCGATTCCCGAATTCGCGTTTTCCGAAGAGTCCCATTGTCCGGCCACGTGCACCGTACGTGAGCGCGCGCGGAGCACGTGAATCGCGCTTGATCGTCTCTCGCAATCATAGAGTTTAAACGAGAATTATATAATATCAACTTATTCTATATAATATTAGGTGTATAACGCAATGTTAAACTGAGATTATAATATTAAACTATTATGTTATATAATGTCAAATGTATAACTCAATATCGACCCGATATTATGATATTAAATTATTATATATATAATATCAGATGTATAACTTAATACTAAACTGATATTATAATATTAAACGGTTGTTTCATATGATTGTTTCATATGACGGTTGTTTCATAATATTAAATGTATAACGTCAAATTATCAATCTGTATGATGTTGAAAGTGTGATACTATAACATTTAATTATTATTTTAACATTGGACTATTACCTTATATAGTACTGAATACATAACATAATATCTGACCGATAGTATAACTCTAAATTATTACTTCATATAATATCAACGAATATTATACATCAAACCATTACTTTATATAATACGAACGCTAAACTATTATTCTATATAACATTAAACATATAGCACGATATCGAACTGATATTATAGTATTAAATTATTGTTTTATATATCGTTAAACGCACAGCATAATATCAATCTGACACTATAATATTAAATCATTACCTTATATAATACTGGGTGTACAACTCAATATCAATGAATACTACAACGTTAAACTATTATTTTATATAATATTGAGTGTATAACATGATATTAAATTATTACTTTACATAATATCACAATGCTAAACTATCATTTTGTATGATATTAGATGTATAATACAATGTCAGTTGATACCATAATGCCAAGCCATTACTTCCATGCAGCATCAAACTGATATTATTATGTTCAAGCTACTGCTTCATATAATATCAAATATATAATATAGTAATCCAAAAAAGAAAACAGAAAAATTGGATACTGCGTGAGGCGCTAGACGTAACAAAATGTTTCCTGCATTCTCTTTATAGTTTTATTTATCTCAAAGTGCCCTTTATGTGCAAGTTTTAACATCTCCGTTTTTAAACTGTCTGGTACAACTACCCTATCATTATATAATACAATATTTTCAATAACACTAAGATCATTTTTTACATTCTTAAATACCAATAGTTTTTTATTTTCTTTACCGTTATTTTGTGACCAACCATTTAAACAGTAATTTTTAACTTTCTTGAGTACTTCATCTTTTTCTGTCTCTTTTTGAAATTTAATTTTCTTCTCTTGTGAGATATTAATAATGGCGTGTATGTTATGTACGATTTCTAACATACTCGGATCTTCTTCAACTGGGTCCAAATTATAGTCTCTGGACAGTAAATCCGCCACATATAAATACTTTTCTGGACAATATTTTGCCTCCAAATCAAACTTAAGTAGTTTTAGTTTTAACCGTTGTAATCTAGGAGAAACAATATCTGATACCTTCTTTTTCACAATCGTAATTAAGGGTTTGTGATCTGTCCACACCGTCACTTTTTTACCATAAATGTAATTCTTAAATTTCTGTGTCGCGAACACTATTGCTAACATTTCTTTTTCGATTTGCGCATACTGTATTTCCGATTCAGTTAGACTTCTCGATGCAAAGAATATTGGTTTCCCCAATTGTAACAAGCATGCTCCTAAACCTTTGCTGGACGCATCCGTCTGAATCGTGATTTCCTTATTAATATCAAAATTTGCTAATACCGGAGCTTTCATTAGTACTTCTTTTAATCTTTTAAATGCTTGCTCATGTTTTGTTGACCACGAAAATTCTACATCTTTTTTCAATAAGTTTCTTATCGGCTCAGACATTTCAGCCATATTAGGCATAAAATCATGGAAATAATTGAACATTCCCAATATTCTCTGCACTTCTTTTTTATTCTGTGGACTTTTAAGCTTTGCTACCGCTTTTACTCTTTCTTTATCGGGCTCCATACCTACTTTCGAAAATCTGTGTCCTAGGTATTTTACTTCATTTACTCTAAATTGTACTTTGTTTGGATTGAATTTGATACCTAATTTTCTTGCTCTGTCTAGAACTTTATTTAAAATTGAATCATGAATTTCTTTTGTTTCTGCAAAAATTAAAATATCATCAATATATACGATTACACCTTCTATATCACCAAAATTTTTGCTGTTTATTTTTTGAAACAATTCTGGAGCCATACTGAGACCAAATGATAACCTTTTAAATTTGTAATTACCAAAAGATGAATTAAATGTGCAAAGTTTACTTGAATTTTCATCCAGTTCTACATGATAAAACCCATCCTTCAAGTCTAATACAGTAAACCATTCTTTGCCTGAGAAAGTGGCGCTTACTTCTCCTAAAGTTGGTAATAAACATAATTCTCGCTTAACACTTTTATTAAGGTCTACTGGATCTAGACAGATTCTTAACGCACCGTTTGGTTTCTCCACAATAACTAAATTACTCGCCCATTCCACTGGTCCTTCAGCCTTAGCAATGATTCCTTTTTGCTCCAGCTCATTCAACGTAACTTTCAATTTGTCCCTTATGGAATATGGTATGCGTCTTGGCGGCCTCACTATCGGACAACAATCCGGCTCTAGCAAGATTTTACACTTTTCTTTAAAGGTCCCTATTCCTGAAAACAAATCTTCATTCTTTTTAATGAATTCATCTTTATTTTCAATAACTTTAACCATTTCAATTTTCTTTAATAATCCTAATTCTATGCAGGATTTTAAACCTAATAAAGGCAATCTCTCATTTCTAACAATAATAAATTCCTGAGTCTTTACACAGTTTTTTACTTTACATCTTAACTTAACTTTACCAATCGGCTTAAATTTATGTCCTCCATAAGCTTCCAATACTATATTTGTTTTCTCTAATTGTATATTTCTTTTTTCAAAGCTATTCAATACTTTCTCTGGCAATAAATTTACCTGCGCACCAGTATCTAGCTTAAATTTAATAATTCTATTCTCTATCTCTATATTTTCCACCCACGATGACACATTTATCTGATGTACTTTGCTTCTTACAATGTTTAATGTCTCCATCGTCGCTAGCAACTCCTCATTTTCCACGTCTTCAATCTCCTGGACTCTTTTTACTCTGCATGCCGCTTCGAAGTGATTCAATTTTCCACACCGGTTGCATTTCTTCCCAAAAGCTGGACATTCTTTTGGACCATGCTTCCTGTTGCACCTTCTACACTGGAATTCCTTTTCAATGCCCGATTCTTCTTTTCCTTCCTGGCTTTTTCTTATATTCTGCTTCATCTTCCCCTTCATTGCCGGTATAATATCGACTTTCTCAATTACCTTCTCCTCATTCATCGTCTTGACTCTTTCTTTTAACATTTCTCTGGCTCTGCATATTTCAACTGCTTTCTCTAACTTTAAATCTGTCATGCCTAGCAGCTTCTCCTGTGTTTTCAAATCTGCTATACCTAACACTATTCTGTCACGAATCATGTCTTGTTTATCCGTAAATTCACAATTCTGCGCTAGCTTCTTCAGCTCCTTCACAAAATTGTCGACTGACTCATTTGGTTCTTGTACTCTTTTATAGAATAAAAATCTCTCATATACTATATTTTTCTTTGGAAGTAGGTACTCGTCAAACTTTTTGACTACTGCCTCATACTTCTTTTGATCCTCTTCACTGAGATTAAAATTATTGAATATGTCAATTCCTTCTTCGCCAATTGTGTTCAAAATTATTGCGACTTTAACTTCATCACTCTTTTGGTGTAGTCCATTCGCTGTCATATATATATTGATTCGCTGTTTGAATTTTTTGTAGTTCTCTGCAATGTTGCCACTGAAATCCAGTGGTCGTGGAATATTTAATTCCATCATAGTTGTACTTATTAACGTCAATTTAACGTAAACTCTGCTTCGCTTATTTAGCCTTTTCCTTTTGTCCCGAGGCTGCTTCCTAACCTCACAACTCAGCAATAATTTTTTACTCGCTTTGACTGCTGCTTACCGCCTTTATTTTTCCATTATCGACTGCGCCATGTTGTGTGAGTGGGTTGTCATACAATCAGATATGTTGGTTAGATACAGCTTTTAATATATAAGTATACAATGTAATGTTGCTGAAGCTCAAGACACGTTTTTTCGCCACGTCGCCCTCGCTTGCCTCTGTCGCATCCGCTTGCGCCATCAGGCGCCACCTATCAGTAACTTCTACAACACAGCCTTATTATAGGATTCCATATTATGAAAGCTAAAAACAAAAGTACAATTTGAGATGTCATAATTTTAAATTAAATCATTGCCTTAGAAGAAGTACAAACTATACTGTAGTTTGCATTAAAGGATCATTTTTTAATAGACTGAAGTGTAATAAAGCTCTAGCAGTATTAAGGTTAATGACATTTGTAGCAGAAGAAACTTTCATTTTAGAAAAATGAGATGGTTTCAAGTTTGTTTTCTTTAAATAAGGCGCGAATTTCAGATCCATATTGAGTTGATGATCTTCAAACCACTCTATATATTTAAAATCTACAACATTAGATACAAATTTTTCGGTATTCACTATATTATCAGAAAGAATCATTATTTTATTCTTCGTAAGTATTTCTCTCAAGCTTTTGAAAACATGGATGAAATTAGGCATAGCATATAACAATCTATTTTCATTAAAAGGATGTGTCCATGAAATAATCATCAAGTTCTTCTTGTGAGAAAATCCAAGATATCGCAAACTAAAGCGAGAACTTTAAATCCAATTTGCTCGCATCTCTCTAATATTTTCATAATTATTTCTATAATAGGCTTATGATACAGTGTACCTGTTGTAAAGTGATAGGCAACAATTTGTTTGTATCGTTTTCGGATGTCTGCAAGAAGAAAAACTAAAGCTTTTGATGCCAGCTGCTTGGGTACTCCAGAAAGTAATACGTAACCAATGTAAGTGCCAGTACTAGGATCAAGATCTACATTTGCTTAATACTCATTTCATCGAAGATAAGGACATAATTTTTGTCATTTTCATTCATATTGTTGCGCTCTGTCGTCGAGCTTTCACTCTCGTGCCACACTCACACTGCACTCGCGCAAACACGACCGAAATAAAGGAGACGAGATGTTTAATAAGAGAACTCTCTTTAATACAGCAACAGAAATATAATCGCTCGCTATCAACGTAACACGTCCGAATCCGTTGACAGCTCGTCGTGAATACCGCAGATCGTGTTTTTAACAAACGCGCGCCTCGTCGTCCGGAGAACACTTCGCAGCTTTCAGGCTAAAGCTACGTGCACACATGGGTCGGCTCAGCCGGGGGCATAACAATATTTTCTGCCATTTCTTGCAAATGTAAAAAGACGTTATTCAAAAGTCTCGGATCAAATTTAATATGTTCTGTACTTCTTTGTAGCGTTTGCACAGATGAAAGAGATGCCATTGTTTGTCGAAGATAATTATATCCTCTAGTTTTACTAGTAAATCGCAAGCTCAGATCTTTAAGAATAGTTTCTTCTGACCATTTAATGCCTCTAGAAGTGCCTGTCTTTAGAATTCCTAACTGATTATTAGCTAAAAAAATTTGAGTATTTTGCAGGCGATTATCCAGAATTTTGATTTGTTTTTTTAAATCAGCATTTTCTTCAAAGATCTTCTTAAGTTTTTGCATCCAATATTTTGATGTTTTGTTTTTCCTTTGCATTTAGTGTATATCATTATCTCTGTATTTTCTTTTCATTTTATTGTTATCATTTTGGGATTTTTTTGGAATTATTGACGGATCACTTTCCTTTGTTAAAGATTCCATTACGTTCATGTTAATGTCATATTGTAAACAGTTATCTTTAGAAGTATCTATTTCATTTGTCGATAATGCAGATAATTTTCTAGTACAAATTATCTTCTCAATTTCATAAATTGGCAATGGAACTCCAATAAATGGACAATTAGTTTCATGTTTCATAAAGCATACTTGTTTCTTGGTTAAAGAAATAATTTCTGTTGTGCAATTTTTATTAACTATTTCACAAGCTGTATTTCTTGAGAGACTGTTTATGTGTTAATTTGCAGATAATTTTTTTTGACTGTAGTCTTAACGTTTTGCATGTAAGTCTGCATACTTTTGCAATTACGATCCTCAAAATTTTGATTATTATAAATATGAGATTGTTCGTAAGATTTTAATTTCTGAATCCAGCTATATGAATGTTCCAAATTTGATGAAATTTGTTTTAAAGGAAGACAATTTTTTAAAAGTTTCTTGCTATGAAAACACTCTATACATTTATTATTATTTAGGTTCACTGAAGTGAGCTGTTGAGTTTTGTCTTAATATTGTTCAATTATATGAATGTTTCAAATTTGATGTGCGACCGCACTCACGGGCGTGGTGCAACTTCGTCGCTCGTCCGACCCGCGTAATTCCGCGAAAACGATAAAAGGAAATCTAACGCGCGATTAACCGTAACTCAGGCATCTCGCCTATCGAAAACGGGAACAAAAATTGGGCGCCAGGCACGTTATAGAGGGTGCCTCTCTACTGAAAATCTCGTTGTTCGGAAATCTAATGACTCAAGAGAAAATTAGTTAATCACGCGGTCAGGTGCGAGTTCGATACAACGGTCGGACAAGGACGGCGATAACCGGTTGCTCAATTACGGTAATGGTAAAGGGGGTGATTCGAAGGAAAACAGTCAAGGTTCGGGAAGCGAGAATAGGCTGAAAGAGATGACAGTAATAAATAACAATAAAAATAACAAGTGTATTAAGCGGACGAATATTACATTCGAAAATACAAACGGAAATACGATAATAGACGGGAATACTTGAAACGCGCAACAATGCAGCGTACTCGACGTGACAGAGACTCGCAATTCGCGCATTCCACGATCGTACGACAAGATCGTGTCTCGGAAAACGGAAAATTAAGAGCGGTTTCCCTTTCGGCGGTACGACTCGCAGTTTACATGCCCATCCGCGTGACATGCGAAATCGAAAAGCATGCAGTGCGGGCGTGACACTCGCGGATACGCCGACGCGGAGCGCTCGGCGTACACGGGCAAGCGGGATCGACACAGCAAAATCGAAACTCGGGAACGAATATGTCCCTCGGGATCCCGTGATCCCGGAAACTCTCTCTAAATCCCGTAACCGTGGCGTAAAGCCTTTTCGGAAACGCGAATTATCACACACGCACTAGGACGGGAACGACACAATTACACGAACTGGCTTGGCTGTGGCGCTCGGCGGGCGCGCGGCGCGACGGTCCTGTAACAAAATATCTCGATACGCGGAGTCAGACGGGGCGCCGGGATATACGGAATCTTTATCGGCTATAGCCGAGTCACAATACGAGAACGACAAGTATGAACGCGTGTTCCTCGC